GCTTTCGGGGTTTAGGGTTTAGGGTTTAGGGTTTAGGGTTTAGGGTTTAGGGTTTAGGGTTTGGTCTTGCGGGTAGTTTAGGGTTATAGGGGTATAGGGTCAGAGGTATTTGGCGGGGATCTGGGTAGAGATGCTCTGCTGCGATGGCTGCTGCCAGGTCCAGGAGGATTTAGAGGGTGTGACGGGTTTACATGCGGTTTGTGGGGTTTATGAGGCTCGTGGGGCTAAGAAGGTTTAGGAGTTAGGGTCTAGGGTTTCGGGAAAACACTAAACCACCCCGAAGGACTAGGCCGCTTAGGCCCTTGTCCTCAGCCGTATGCCCCACAAAGCCGGACTATAACGCTACACCCGAAACTCTTGAAACCCAAAACCCTAAACCCTAAACCCTGAGGCCCAAACCTAAGTCCGGGGCGGCCGAAGCCTTCCCAGATGTCCCGAAATCCGAGGCCACGGGACAATGGCCCGACGTTGTGGCGGGACCATTGCCCAGGCGGGGCAGGGGCGCTGGCAGGATTCCTCTGTCTGGGTTTTAGAGTACCACCCTTTTTAGACTTTTGATGGTTCTGGGTTCCTATGAAAGCTACTACCTAGAAAGTGTATACTTGTTTTACCAGGGTCTACTCCAAAGAAGGGCTGTAGTGGGTCTTGCATGAACTTTTGTAGGTTTAGGGTTTCGGGTTACTAGGGTTTGCAGGGCAACTTCAAGGAGTTTTCCTAGAACCCAGAGTAGGGCCTTATTGCCGTTGTTTTCTGGTTTAGGTTCCCATCTGATCCCCTTGAAACCAAAAAGGGCACCGTTCTTTATCCCTACAGCAGGTTGCTCTTCGGTCTTTAGGTTTCTTAGTAGCTGGGTGAGCACACTTTACACGTTTTGGGACACTAGAACCCCGTATAGAACTGGAAGTTTACTCTTTCTTTGGGGGGGCTCATGAACTCAGCAACTGAGGTTTCGGGTGTCAGTCTTAATTAAGGTTCAGGGCAACTTCGAAGAGTTTCCGGGGTCAGGGCGGATCCATGACTGAAATCGCTGGGTGTTCATGTCATTGGCTTTATAGGGCTTCGTAGGGTTCATAGGGTTTGTAGGGCTTATAGGGTTTATGAGGCTCATCGGGTTTTGAGGGTTTAGACTTTTTGCAGCTCACGGGTTCGGGACTTCTAGGTTCCTACCGAAGGCAAGCCCGCCGGCGGACGCCCACAGAACTCCGAAACCTGAAAGCCTTCGCCCTTCTAAGCATCCAAACCCTAAACCCGAAACCCCAAACCCAAAACCCGAAACCCTAAACGCCACGAAGCCCCAAGCCCTAAACCACAAAAAACCCAACCCTAATCGCCGAGAGCAATCCCCTAAACCCCCTACACCGCAAATAAACCCTCAGCCCTGAACCCCAATTCAGGGTTTAGGGGAAAGGTTAGGGTTTAGGGTTCGGGCTTGGCTTATAGGAATAAAGGATTCTGGGCTTTGAGGGCTTAAGGTTTAAGCGCCCTAAAAACTCTAAACCCTAAACCCTAAACCCTAAACCCTAAACACTACACCCTAAACCCTAAACCCTAAACCCTAAACCCTAAACCCTAAACCCTAAACCCTAAACCCTAAACCCTAAACCCTAAACCCTAAACCCTAAACCCTAAACCCTAAACCTAAATCAACTCGGAGGTTCTCCTTTGGCCCTTCGGCGGGATCTGCTTCACCACACGGCCACAGGCAGAGCCGCCTGCTGCTGGGGGAGGGGGGTGGAGGGCGTTTAGGGTTTAGGGTTTAGGGTTTAGGGTTTAGGCTTTAGGCTTTAGGGTTTAGGCTTTAAGGCTTTAGTCTTTAAGGCTTTAGCGTTGTAGGGTTGTAGGGGTTTAGGGTTTAGGCTTTAGGCTTTAGGCTTTAAGGCTTTAGTCTTTAAGGCTTTAGCGTTGTAGGGTTGTAGGGGTTTAGGGTTTTAGGGTTGTGGGGTTGTAGGGTTTTAGGGTTGTGGGGTTGTAGGGTATAGGAATTGCAGGGTTGAGAGGGTCTGTAGCGTTGACCTTTTCTGGAGGTTCATGGGCCCTTGTTACCCTCAACTGAAAGTCTACCTAGAACCTGCTTACCGGACTTGGCGGGCTTTTCGGTGCAGTTGTACTTGGGCTTTTAGTACCCTGAACCTCCAAGTACAAATTGGCCCTAGAGAAAGTCGATGAACGCACGAGAGGGGCCGAGCCAGCCTTACCGGCACTTACATCGTTTGCCAGGGCCGTGGCCCGCGCGAGAAGTTGGTGGACGACCTGTGGATTGTGGGCGCCGCGCGGAACCCAGCGGTGGCATTGTTGTTTTGTGTGTGTGCTTCGGCTTGGAGATTCGGGTGGTCGATGTCTAGACAGGTTTAGGGTTTAGGGTTCAGGGTTTAGGGTTTGGGGTTTAGGGTGTAGGCTTTTGGGGCTTGAGGGATCTTGCTACCCGAGCGTTTCGTTGGGCTCCTTTTTCTGGAGCAGAGCCCAGGGGTCAGCAAGCCACCAAGAGCCCCAAAAATGAGGCCCGATAGCCCCCTTGCAGACTTCCAATTCTGCTGGGTTGGCAAAGATGTACCCCAAGTCCCTTTGGAAACTTGGCTAGGCATCCCAAAAAGCCTCAAGAAGCCCAAGATCAAGGTCGGTTCCGTTTACGACTGAGTAGTTCTGAAAAGAGATATGTGTCATCAGGGACCCGAAAAAAAGTGTGGAGCAGACCCCCCCACCCCAACCCTGAACCCTGCACACCCTAAACCCTTACAACACCTATCCCCCCCCCCCCTGCCCCTATAGTTTAGTAGCAACTTTCTCTGAATTACCTTAACTAGTAGGTATATCTAACCGGCAGGTACATTCCCAGGTTGCCAGAGTAAGGTTTCTCCCAAACCCTAGACCCCAGACCCTAAACCCTATTCAAACCCTAAACCCGAAACCCGAAACCCTAAACCCTAAACCCTAAACCCTAGGGTTTCTCCCACCCCAGGGCCCAGCCACCCACTTCCCGATGTCGGCGGCCTGGCTGGGGCTCCTGGCGCGCCACTCAGGAGGATTTTGCTGACCGGTGCTTGGGCCCAGTAGAGGGTTCAATAAAGGTTCAGGGTTTAGGGTTTAGGGTTTAGGGTTTAGGGAAACTACGACCTGGAGTAGGCCCTTCTTCCCTTTCTTGTTTCAGGGTTTCGGGTTCCCTTGGAACCGCTTTAAAGGGGCCACCCTTTCTGTTCCTAGGTTTAGGTCGAGCGGTTCTTGGGGGCTCACTAGTCCTTGGGGTCTAAGAGTCTACGAGGGTTTGGGGCTTATAAACCCTAAACCCTAAACCCTAAACCCTAAACCCTAAACCCTAAACCCTAAACCCTTCTGGTGGCGCACTATGTTGCAGGGTTTGGGGCCTCATCTCGAAACGGCTCAGGGATGATGAGAGCTTTGCAGCTCTGAGTTGTTGGGATTTTTCTGGGAGTCTTAGCAGGCGTCGGGCTCCCTGAGTAGAGCGTCTCTGTTTGGCTTCGGGGTTTGAGGTTTAGGGTTTAGGGTTTATAAGGTTTAGGGTTTAGGGTTAGGGTTTAGGGTTTAGGGTTTAGGGTTTAGGGTTTAGGGTTTACGGTTTATCAGATGCGCTCTGAGAAGCAAGTTCTGAACCGGCAACAGCCCCCAGCCTTCCCCCGAGGTCAGCTACGTGGCGATGTGCAGTCACGTCATCGCGCCACCTTCCTGGAAGTACCTAGGCCCGGGGCTGCGCTGGCGTTGCAGATTGCAGCGGTGTTGGGACGTGGCCGTCTAACAGTCCTCTACAGCTGAGCCCTATATATCCCAAACCCTTGAAGGCGTGCGGAAATGCATGTGTCCAGGTCTTGATGATTATCTGATACGAAGGCCACTGTGAACTCCCCCCCCTCTAGCCCCCACTGTCGGAGCCACAGCCCCATAACCCGGAAGCCTCCCAAGTCCTCGACCACAAAGATGTGTAAAGCCCACAGCAGCCTCAAACCCTAAATCCTAAACCCCAAACCCTAAACCCTGCCCTAAACCCCAAACCCTAAACCCTAAACCCTGAACCCCAAACCCCAAACCCCAAACCCTAAACCCCAAGCCCCAAACCCTAAACCCCAAACCCTAAACCCCAAATGCTAACAACCCCAATCCGACTGGGAGCCCTCCTGATTGGCCAGTCCCCTTCGGCTCGGCCATGCCCCCGTGCCTCAGCCCGGGTTTCAACGGGCGCCGCGCCCCAGCTTGTGGCTTCTGCGTTTTTTTTGTTAATGAATATCAATATTTGGTTTTTTTGGGTAGGGCGGGGGGGTGGGGGGGGGGGGGGTGGGGGGGGGGGGTGGGGGCGGGGGGGGGGGGGGGGGGGGGTGGGGGGGGGGGGGTGGGGGGGGGGGGTGGGGGGGGGGGTGGGGGGGGGGGGGTGGGGGGGGGGGGGTGGGGGGGGGGGGGGGGGGGGGGGGGGGTGGGCTTAGGGTTGTTTAGGCTTGAGTTTGGGGGAGATGATTTGAGTGTTTGCACCTTTAAGATGTGTGTCTCTTTGTGGAATGGAGGCCTTGTATACCCCGGAATTGTGCTATTCTTATAATCGGAACCCCCAAAGAGGAACCCTCATGTTTGGAAAGCCCCCGTATGGTCTTGAAGGGTTTAGGGTTTGGTGGGAAGAGCTTTTCTGCAAAACATGTGCCAGGTGACCAAAAGCAAACGATCGCATGCAGGCAAGTGTGCTCTTACCTCGCAATGAAACAACCAATGCCCTTTCAAACTGGGCCGACGGCGCCTGCCTATCAGAGCCATCCTTACAGCCCTATGAACCCTGTATGACCCTAAAGCCCCCTACAAACCCTGTATGCCCTAAGCCCTTAACCCTAAACCCGAAACCCTTGTGGGACGAGGCAACTGTGACACTAGAACCCCTACGTGACCCCTAGAACCTCGACAAAACCCTGTAAACCCAACAACCCCCCAAACCCCAAAACGCCGACCCCTCTGCAGCAGCGGTGAGCTCAAACCTGCCCCCATGTGCCTGGTGATCCGGTCCCTGCGAGATGACGTCGTTCTCACTCTCCCGGACACTCGGGCTGACATACATGAGGGTTTAGGGTTTAGGGTTTAGGGTTTTGTACATGATGGCTTGCCCTAAATTTGGGGAATACCCTGGGTTCTGCTTTTTGTGTTTTTGTATGGTACCATGATAATAGTTGCAGCTTTTTGAGGTGCTGTTGGGGAAACGTTACTTATGCCCATATGCATGCGCTCATGGATTCACACAATCCCCGCCAGCCTGAGCTCGGGACCCTCAACCCAATATTTCCACATGTCCGTATGCACCCGGAAATTTTCCTTAAACCCCCCAAAGAACTTTCAGACCCTCAACACCCTAAACCCTAATCCCTAAACCCAAGGAACTCAAAGAGCTCACTAAGTGTCTGAGTTCCGTGCGCCGAAAAGAGCGAAGCAGAAAGCCGAGGATGCCCAAGGAGGATATGATCTGCACTGGCTGCGGCCGCCTGGCCTTGAGCATTCCTTGGGGAACTGAACCCTAAAATTTGGGGTCATATACTCTGTACTACCATAATTCCTACTGAGGTATATGAACCATAAACTCTTTTAGGGTTCATTTGGTCCCCAAGGTTGTGAGTCTACAGGGTTTAAGGATCTTAAGGGTTTCCGGTGGGGGGGTTCAGGATGTAGGGTTTTGGGGATTGAGGGGGCTGATTTCGGGGTTTAGGGGTTTAGGGGCTAAGGTTTAAGGATCTTAAGGGTTTGGGGGCTGTGGATGCGGCGGTTTGGGGGGGCCGCGTTCAGGTTGAAGGGCAGTTTAGCCCGAGGGGTCTACTGCTAGTCATCACTCGCAGTATTGTGACAGCTTTCAGGATACATTAATATATATTTTATTTATATGATGTTATACACATCATATAAATAAAAAAAAAATTCAAACGCGATGTGCTGTGTACGAATTCTAACTTCGCCAGAGGGCAACTCCGAAGTCCCCAAGGTCAACAGGTTTGAGGATATACCCGGGGGCCCTCTTCACCGACAGGTTTAGGGGATGTGCCTACTTGTTAAGGATAATTAAGGGAGTTTCTACTTGGCTATAGGTAAATAGAGACCCAGGCCCTTGGTAGAAGTTGAATCATCGAATACGTGCAGGGACACAGGCGCGTGTGTTTGTGCCCTTGGCGTCGTTGCAGATCCATGAATCCATGCTTTCAAAACCTGCATCGCTGTCATTGGCTCCGATGAAGCTGCAGAGGGTCATGGACAGCTAGCAGCTTGCTGGACATCGGCGGCTCAGCTTGTTAATGACAAATCTTCACGGCAGAGGCAAGCAGCAAGAGTACAAACCTGACATCGCAGGGAAGTAGTTGATTAGTTGATAGACCAGTATATATGCTCAGCAAACCAAAGCCGTGAGCTCGATGAAGCGCTCCCGGGCATCGCTTCCGGGCTTCTTCCTTCTGGCATTTCTCCTGGCAGCAGGTCTGCAACCTCCCAGAAATTCAAACGTCTGGTCAAGCTGGAGGTGGGCTGGGGGCCCAAGTTGGGGGAGAGTTGCCCGCAATGCAGCCTGCAGGCGGGGCTCCTCTGCCACCAAAACTCAAGCAACGTGGGTCCGGTGGAGGAGTGAGGCCGGTTGGCGCCGAGCGTTGCAGATACTTCAGGAGCTCCAGCCTGATCGGTACGATGCTCGCCGGATGGACTGGAGCTGGTGGCAAGAGAACATCTGCAATGACACTTCCAAGATAGATGTGACCTGCCAAGAATGCGGCCATCGCTCTCGTGACACGATGTTACGGAACCTGCGAAGTGGTCAGTCACCCGGGTGCTTTTGCAACGGGGGCGTGCGATGGTCCAGCCGAGAAGGGCACGCCCGCTGCTTGGAGTTGCTGAGGGATCGCCACGGCGAGAGGTACGATGCCAGCCGCATGGACTGGAGCTGGTGGCAAGAGAACATCTGCAATGCCACTTCCAAGATAGATGTGACCTGCCAAGAATGCGGCCATCGCTCTCGTGACACGATGTTGGGGAACCTGCGAAGTGGTCAGTCGCCCGGGTGCTTTTGCAACGGAGGTGTGCGATGGTCCAGCAGGGAAGGGCACGCCCGCTGCTTGGAGTTGCTGACGAATCGCCACGGCGAGAGGTACGATGCTAGCCGCATGGACTGGAGCTGGTGGCACAGGAACATCGACAATGCGAATTCCAAGATAGATGTGACTTGCCAAGAATGCGGCCATCGCTCTCGCGACACTTGGTTGCGGAGCCTGCAAAGTGGCCACCCGCCCGGGTGCCTTTGCGCGAGGAAGACGGAAGGCAAGTTGATGCAGTGGTTGCTTGAAACCTTTGCAGGTTGCACGGCTCAGGTGCCGGGCTGCGTGAATCCAAAGACTCAGCGCAGCCTGCCCTTTGATTTCGGCTTATGCAACGACACCGTTCTCATCGAGCTGGATGGGGCCATTGGCCACTTCGGCCGCGGTTGGGGAGGCGCTGCGGATGATGGAGGGGTGCCGCGAAGAGACCTCTTCAAAGAGCAATGGGCGCTGCGGCAGGGCAAAGCCGTCATCCGATTGTTGCAGGCAGATGTGTATATGGATTGTTGGAATTGGAAGGACTTCCTGACCGCGGCCGTCCAGCATGCAATTCGTAATTCAGATCCCTTCGTGCTGACGCAGGATGCCCCGCCGTATCGAGACGGCATCTACCGCAAGCTGCGCCAGGGCATTCCCTGCCAGGTTGGCAGCTTCCAACCTACCCACGATGTCAGCATCCCATACTTGGCGTATGGAGCAGAAGGCGGCGAAAAGAGCCACGTTGCTTTGTCAACCGGTAGTGAAAGGTAAGAAGGGCAAACATGATCCTTTTAGGGAGGGTTTAAGTGCTTGGGGTTTAGGGTTTACCAATCCTCGCGTCCCAAACCCACATCAACTCTCAAGCCCAGACCCTAATTCATCCCCACCTCCTGTGAGCACTCATGCCCGAAAATTGATATACTTGATGAGCCCAAGCCCAATCGCCCAACCCACTAAAAAGGCCCCCAAACCCTCCACAGCCGAAGTTCCAAAACATCGGGGGAGGGATGAGAGGCTCTACGTAGAGTTGTTCCTCTCCCATCCTCTTCCCTTCAGCTTCTTGCCTTTTTATATTTGGCCCGGGCAAAGATCTCTGTAAGCCCGACAAACCCCAAACTTCAGCTTTTTGCCCAGGGAAAGATCCCTACAACTCCGGCACCGGCTGCCTCTGCGCTCCCGGTGCGGGGAACTGGGTCTACAAGGCCACTGGAACCATTGACCCGGGCACGGAGAAGGCAGAGGAGCCGAAGGGCCACTGGGACGCAAGGGATTAGTTGGTTTAGCTTGTTTTGGGGTAGAGGCTTCACTTGAAGCTAAGGTGGTTTTTAGGTTGTAGGCCTTAGAATTAAGTTTAGTTTGAGGGCCACAGGGCTGAGGGCTTGCGAAGATTTCGGGCGTTGTCGAGTTGCAATTCAAGCGTGTGGAATCCGGATTGAGGGGTTCACAGATACCGAATCGTTTGACCCAATTGAGCGTGAGTGAGGATGGATGGATGATAGCAACCGTAGACCTTGGCGCTAGCCGCCGAAGAGGGCATGGTGTGAGGCATGGCAACATGGGCTCCTCTAAGCCGGGTATCTCGAAGCCCCCTCACGCAGGGTCGCTCGGTGACCACCGCAAACTTACCCTGAACCGCAAACAGTAAACTCCCAACAGTCGAAACATGATTCTCCTGCAATCCCAGCACTACTCCTTGGTAGCCCAATGGTACCCTTTTCCCTTTTTTGGGTTCAAGGTTCCCTTATAAATTAACCAACCCCAAAAAAAGGGTGCCCTTATTATCATATGGTTACTGGGCTACTAAGACTCGTCATTCAGCAATGTCCCAACTTTATGGCGTGTATGGCGCAGTCCGAGGAAGCCCAGCCGACGACGGCGAGGTCACCTGCAGCTGCGGGCAGCCACGCAAGCGGGCGACGAAAGCCCCGGATCGAGTGCTTCCCTGCAGGCCTTGGGAGCGGGATTGGGGATCAGGATTTAGGGTTTAGGGTTTAGGGTTTAGGGATTTAGGATTTAGGGTTTAGGGTTTAGGGTTTAGGGCTTTAGATTCTTTAGGCTTAGGGTTTAGGACCGATGTGATTATAAGGTTACGTACGTTTTGGGTTTAGGATTCTGGGTAGGGCCCTTGGGATATGTGATGTGTAAGAGGGTCATATGTAGGAATGCGTATCAGCGGGCTTTAAGGGCGATCATAGGATAGGATTTAGGGTTTAGGACTAGGATGTGTGAGGTCAAGTTTAGGGTGGGTTGAGGGTTTGGAATTTGGTGTGGCATTTACATTCCAGACCGTGTAGACGGCGATGTTTTGAGAGTTTGTGGTTGAGGGAACATAATACCCTAAAACCGTAAACCCTGCTGAAACCCTAAACCCTAAACCCTAAACCCAAACTCTAAACCCTAAACCCTAAACCCTAAACCCTAAACCCTAAACCCTAAACCCTAAACCCTAAACCCTAAACCCTAAACCCTAAACCCTAAACCCTAAACCCTAAACCCTAAACCCTAAACACAGGCACTGCGGCGATGAAGCGCGGGCGGCCGCCGAGTTGGCCAAGTGACTTTCAAGGCGAACCCTACAATGAAAAGCACAGGGTTTAGGGTTTAGGGTTTAGGGTTTAGGGTTTGGGGTGTAGGGTTCAGGGTTTAGGGTTTAGGGTTTAGAGTATACTACGGTATACCCTGTTTTACTGTAATCCCTGTCAAGGTTTATATTCACCATAATTCCTTTTTAGGCCTCATCTGGTTTGTGAAGGGGTTCAGGCGTTTAGAAGTGTAGGGGCACCTCTCGACCCCAGGGGCGTTCTTTTATTAGGAGTGGTAGTGGAAGCAGTGGTGTGATAGATACATTCTTCTCGGTGAAGTTCGTTCCTTGAATATCATTCCTACCTGTTTGGGCTTCGAGGATGGTGTTGGGGGTTTAGCATGTGGTGGGTTTGGGGCGACTCAGGTTTTGTCATGATTCGAAGTTTCGGGCTTCAGGGTCTGTAGGGTTCCGCGGTGCAGATTCAGGACTTGAGCTTCAGGGTAACCTCAAGCTCAAGCTCAGCTACTTCTAGCATTTAGACCCCCAACAGCAACCCTCCCTCCTCCCCCTAAACCCGACGCCCTAAACCCAATCAGAAGCACATCGACCTGAGGTGGCTACCCTGGTGCTTCCGAGCAGTTTCAATCATGCACCCGGGTCCACCCCTCCATCAATTCGCAGCGCAGCGAACTCCTGACCTACACTACTGTTTGCTTCAGAACCCCCCAACAAAGAACAAGACGCTCGTCCTTACAAGGCGAATATAGGGATTCCTATCTCCTTTTTGGAAATATCGTTTGGGCTTGTTCAGCAAATAGTAGTACAGTTACCATCACCTGGCCGATGATGTAGGTGTGTGGGAATTGCAGGGTTTGGGAACTAACCCGTAACCCATCGATTTGGGATTTACAGGGTTTAGGTTTTCGCGGAGGTAGGAGCTGGCAGTTGGCGGAAACACACCAGCTTTTCATGTACTACAAGTAGAACTGCCCATTGGCTACGGCAAGATCCAGGTTATTTTCAATAGGCTTCTGGGAGGCTACTTACAACTGCAACACCTCTGCTTCATGTACTTCATCTACACTAAAGGGCTTCGGGGTCTAACTGTTTGGGCAGGCGCCTTTGCAGGGGGGGCGCCGGCGGCGCTTGAATGTTTTCAAGGAGACTCCCTGGGCGCTGCTTGGGAAGTGTGGAACACCACGGCACGCGACAACCCTAAACCCTAAACCCCAGACCCTAAACCCTAAACCCTAAACCCTAAACCCTAGACCCTAGACCCTAGACCCTAGACCCTAAGACCGAAGGAAAGTGAGCCCCGAGCACCTTCCCAAGCGGCCCTGGAAGAAAAGCGGGCAAGAAGGCGACGTTACTGACTCCTGCCAAAGGCAGCCTTCAAAGGAGGAGAAGAACAGAAAAGGAGGGTTTAGGGTTTAGGGTTTAGGGTGTAGGGTTAGGGTTTAGGGTTTAGGGTCTAAGGTTAGGAGGGGGTTCAGTAGAGTGTGCCAGGTTTGACTTGGTTAAGTCTCAAATCCTACACCCTTGAAGCCTTGTCTTAAGAATCCAAAGCGCGATTCGAGTCAAGAAGTTGTAAGCATGGTGCGCCTTGCCCTTGCCGCGTTAATAAACGGAAGGCGCCTAATGATACAATCACAACACAAGCAAAGTCATAACCTATTGAATATCAGTCTACATATATATATATGTGTGTATATATATATATGTAGAATATTTGTATATTCTATATAATACACATATTGCATCTGCCATAGCTTCGTTTGACATTGCTAGTTGTGTTCTGCTGAATTAACCACCCACCAAACAGAAGGTTCTTGGTGGTTTGGACCCCGCCACTTCGAATGCCTCAGCCGAGCTCTCGCAAGAAGCCCAAAGGTTGAGGGTTTAGGGTTGAGGGTTGAGGGTTTAGGGTTTAGGGTTGAGGGTTGAGGGTTGAGGGTTTAGGTTTTAGGGACACCTGAGCTGCTACTCCCTCCCTCAACCCCTAGAACCTCCGAACCCCAAAACCCTTTCAACCCTCAACTATAGCAACTATAGGGGCCTAAATGATTAGAAATGGGTTTTGGGGGTTATCGGAAACCCCCTAAACCCTAAACCCTAAACCCTAAACCCTAAACCCTAAACCCAAAAGTCCTTGGAGCCTCGTCCGATGACGGTGGACGTGGCGGAGCTTCGGCGGCAAGTCGCGAAGGCGCGGCAGAAGATACAGGAGGCGCGGCCCAGGGGCTGAAGTTTGGGGGTTTAGGGTTTAGGGTTTAGGGTTTAGGGTTTATGGTTTAGGGTTTAGGGTCTGGGGTTTAGGGTTTAGGGTTTCGGGTTCAGGGTTTAGGGTTTAGGGTTTAGGGTTTAGGTGGGTCTTCGGGCTTTGCTCTCTTTGTTATACAAGGCTTTGGGGTAATTGCGGGTGTGTACTGTACTGAGTTTCAACTTCGGATGGAGCGTTTAGAGCCGAGTTTGGTTTCGTTTGTCGGGTTGTTAGCATCTTGCCTACCCTGCGCAAACACAATCCCTGTACAGGGGGGTGAGGGGGTTGGGGTGTCCACAGCAATTTGAATCTGTGTGGGCAAAGAGGGGTCTGTAGGCATTAGGACCCATGGAACTTTCCAAGAACTTTCCAATCCATTCCAAATCAACCCCAGTACACGGTAAAACCCTAAACGCCCTAAACCCTAAACCCTAAGGAATCCTTCAAACACGCCCGCTAGGCGGAAGCTGCGGGGGACGAGGAGCAGCTCTTAGACTTGATCTGCGAGCCTCGCTGGAGTCATTGGATGAGGGAGGGGGCTCCAAGGGGCCAAGATAGGTACTGCATTAGTCTCCCCACCCCCTCCCACCCCCCTCCCCCACGGAACCGCCCTAAACCCTAAACCCTAAACCCTAAACCCTAAACCCTAAACCCTAAACCCTAAACCCGAAGCCTTCTTCACAGGGAGAAAGGGGGGACTCCGAGAGGGCCCAAAAAAGCAGGCGCATGCGACGCAACAGAGGTAGCAGCTCTCTGAAACCGAGCCCTCCTCTCCGCACCCCCAGGTTTAGGGTTTAGGGTTTAGGGTTTAGGGTTTAGGGTTTAGGGTTTAGGGTTTAGGGTGTAGGGTGTAGGGTTTAGGGAAGGCCCTCAGCAACAGGAGTGCCCGAAACCCTTGTGCCCCAAAGCATGACAGGACAAACACAGGGCCCACTTTCCTGAAGCCCCTGAACTCCCTGAGCCCCCGTTATAACCTTTATTTAGGGTACGTGGGCCCCCACACTTTATAAGTGCCCTGAAGCAGTTGCGCTATAAGTATAAACCCATACCTTATAAGTGCCCATGAACCTCCCAAAGCAAGCCCAGGAAGCCAACGAGCTGCAAGACGCCCTGCGGAACTTCGAGCGCCGCGGCTCAGCTTGGGGGTTTTGGCTGAGTCTTGAGGGCTTTTGGGGGGGGTTTAAGGCTGGAAATCCTGAAGAAATCGGTAAAAATTTTCCTTTAAACAAATCGTTCAAATTTTAAGTCAGCTCCGAAACCTAGAACCTAAACCCTTAAACCCCGAACCGTAAACCTGCTGCGTCGGAGAGGAGCTTCGAGGCTTTCTGGGATCCTTCGTGGAGCTTTCGCTACAACGAGGCAGGGCTTGAAGCTCTTCAAGCCAGGGGCTGCTTCGAGCCTTTTCTCCCAGCATTTGCTTCAGAAGCCCCCCAAAAAGTAAAAGTATACTTCCTTCCTTGTAAGGGTAAATTCGGGATTGTTTTCTGGCTCAAGCGGTCCCGGGTTTAGGTCGACGCTTAGGCGTGAAAGACACGCGCACCCATGTGGGCTCGGGAAAGATACGTGCTTGCCATCCGCCGTGCCGAATGTTAGATTTGAGATCTTCTTATTTTTGGTGGGTTTGGGGTTTGGGGTTTAGTGGCGGCTTTATAAGGGTTTAGCATTTAGGGTTTGGGGTTTAGGGTTTAGGGTTAAGAGTTCAGGGGTCGGGCTTCCCAAAGCCGCACAGCTTCAGCTTTCCGTAGGCTTGCTTCGGGGATGGGATGCTGAACCCTGATTCCTGTAAGACCCTAAACCCTAAACCGAAACCCTAAACCCTAAATCCTAGACCCTAAACCCGAAACCCTAAACCCTAAACCCTAAACCCTAAAGCCTACACACATCTTGGAGTTTTGGAAAGCCTTAAAACTTTGGTCCCTAAGCCCTGCGTAGTGCCCTGAATTCCGGGCAGGTCTCGCTGAAGCCGGTGGCTGAGAGTTGCTGGATGTTGCGTGAGCTGCTGCCACCCGACGCGTGCCGAGATCTGTGGCTTGTCAAGCTCGGGTTTAGGGTTTAGGGTTTAGGGTTTAGGGTTTAGGGCTTAGGGCTTAGGGCTTAGGGCTTAGTGCTACCATGTTTTTCAATGTGCAAGCTAACCTGACACAAAATTGGAGCAACCTGGGATAAACCGATTATAAACCATCCAAACCCGAAAAGCCCTGTAAACCCCATTAACCTCAAACCCTATAAGCCCTATACACTGTTCAGAAACCGTTTAAACATCCTATAAACCCTCTAAACCCGAAAAACCCTATAAGCCCCATAAACATCAAACCCTAACCCCCACAAAGCCCTGAACCCTTAACCGTAAAAGCCCCGATAAACCCTGTAAACCCGAAAACCCTGCAAACCCCACCCTAAACCCCACGAAGCCCTTACCTCGCCCGCGAGGTTTCGCGCAGTGGCCAGCCGCGGCTTTGGAGCGGACCTTGGAGGGCTTGCCCCTAAACCCTAGACCCTAAACCCTAAACCCTAAATTAAACCCTATACCCTAAAGCCTAAACCCTAAACCCTAAACCCTCGCAAACCTTGAATCCCAAAGGTGGTAGGTTTTGTTTGTTGTCGTCCAGGGCTTTGGCACGAGCTTTCCCCTCCTTGCCGGCAAGGACGCCGGCGACGCAAGCCGCTTCGGGCAGCGCTCCATCCTTCCCGGGCGCGTGCCACGTGGCCAGCGATGGGTGGCCCTATAAAAAGCTTGGTAGCCCAGTGGTAGCCTTTGCACTTTTTTTGGCTCAAGGTTCCCTTATAAAGTAGCCAACTCAGAAACGGGAGCCCTGATTAATAACATGGTTACTGGGCTACCAAGAAAGCCTACCCTGCAACCGTAAGGGTCCATGGACCTATAGAGTAAATACCTGGCCCCTAAAGCTACTCGGTAACCCCTTTGAAGGCCCAAGTATACACTAAAAAGGTACATGGACCCTTAGGGTAACACTTTGGGATTTGGGGTTGAAAGTACAGTTCCGACCATGTAGTCACCAAAGCCCTGGGTACGAAGTTGGAACAACCCTCGCATGTCCCAGGTCGACCAAAGGTCTTCCCGGGAACGCCCCCGAACCTATTTGACCTGCTTGGGGGTCCAGGGTTTAGGGTTTTGGGTTTTAATCCCTGTATGGAACGGTAGGGAGCCTCGGGATTTCCTGGTTTTGAGAGTTTTTTTTTGTTTTTTGTAATTTGTGTGATTTTGCTTTGCGCCAGAGGAGACTCGAGTTTCTAAAGCCTGAGAACTTTGTTGAAGGTTGAAAGTGTTTAGCATTTAGGGCTGAGGGCTCAGTGCTCATATGACCATAGGTTTTTTGGGGCTTACTTACTGGTTCTTCGCAAGGACTTAGAGAATCTAGGGGCACCTTACATCCACCCCCGTCCAATTAGAGAACCCTTTAAGGGATGAAGGAGAAAGCTACTAAGTTCCTACTAAGAACCAGCTGGCCCAGGCAGGCCCAGAGCTCCGTACATCCATCCCCTTCTATATACCCGTTTCAAAAAATGCAGAGAAGCCTATTCAGTCCCTACTAGCTAGGCAGGTCCTTGGGACATGTTAAGATTTCTCTTATTGCGTTTAAGAGGATCACGCGTAGGAATACTTTTCAGCGGGTTGCAGGGCCATCCTAGTACACTACTGCAGTCCCTATGGAGGTATGTGAACCATGAACCCCTCAAGTTCAACTTGCCCTAAACCCTAAGCCCTAAACCCTAAACCCTAGACCCTAGACCCTAGACCCTAAACACTACACCCTGTAGCTGAGAAACAGTTTCCCCAGAGCTTCTCTACGCCCAGGCTGCGATCGGACGACGAGGCGCTGGCCCAGCTCCTTTGGCAGCGGGCACCTCGGTGCGTAGAGGGTTTAGGGTTTAGGGTTTAGGGTTTAGGGTTTAGGGTTTAGGGTTTAGGGACCCCTCAAAGAAACCGTTATTTGTAAAATTGAAATCAGGGACGCCCCTTTGTAGCTCTGAATCCCCAACCCTAAACGCCCTGCGCCTTGAACACAAAACCTTCAAACATTCAACCACGAACCATCAACCCCATACCCTCGGCCCAAAACAAAAGCAAAAAGCCCAAAGCCCTTAACTGCAGACGTTGACTCTTCTGAGCTCCGAGCCTAAAGCACTTTCCCTGCCGAAGGCGGCCACTGTGGCTTTGCCCCTGCTGCGCGCCAAGCCGGGCTGGCACGCTGCGGAGTTGGACGGGGTTTCAGGATAGCCTTGGGACTAAATAGGGTTCAGGGCTTAGGGTTTAGGGTTTAGGGCTTAGGGCTTAGGGTTTAGGGTTTAGGGTTCACATACCTCAGTAGGAATTCTAGTAGTCAGGGTATCTGACCCCAAGTTTAGGGTTCATTTGGTCCCCAAAGAGTGGGTTGGTAAGGAAGTGTCGAAGATGAGGTTTGACGATCCCGAAGCCTAGGGTTTATAAGGTTGTCATATTATAGGGTATCCATTTTGGGGCAAAAACGGGCCCCATAATCTCGACCACTCGAGATCTTAAGATGATCAAGCCCGCAACATGCCGAAGCATTCTCCACAAGTCTGCGGCTAGCAATTATAAGGGTATCCGGAAAGCACCCTGAGTTTGAGAAGTCAGGTGTGAGATCGAGAAAGACAGATATGAGCAATGCCATCCTCAGAACCCGAAAATCCGAATCCCTAAGCCCTAGAACCCTAAACCCTAAGCCCTAGAAACCCTAAACCCTAAACCCTAAAACCCTAAGCCCTCAGCCCTAGAAACCCTAAACCCTAAAACCCTCAATCCGAATCCGGTCCAGGACAGCCGTATCACCTACGAGGAGCTGCCTGGCGGGGAGGCCTGGTAGGTTCAGGGTTTAGGGTTTAGGGTTTAGGGTTTAGGGTTTGGGGTTTAGGGTTTAGGGTTTAGGGTTTTCCGGGGGGGGGGGGGGGGGTGCACTTGAGCTGCTCTTCTCATGGGTCTTTACCTCTGACCTTGAAGTTGGTACCCTTGGGTTTGGGCTCCCATTTTAAGGATCCTCTAAATGAATATAAGGACCCTGGTAGGAGTATATTCAGTGAAACCTCTAGAGGCACAACCTGAGGAGTACGAGTCTTAACCACTTGATGAGCTGCCCTTCGGGCCGTAGATCCTCAGTCCTTGAGGCATCCTCCATCCTTGGTTTAGGGTTTAGGGTTTAGGGTTTTGGGCTTTGGGTTTGGGGTTTATGGTTTAGGGTTTTAGGCTTCTAAGGGGGATTACTGGATGATGGTTGTAGGGTTTCGACTTTATAGGTGTGTATCGGCTTTTGCTGGATTTTACAGGGCTTTGCCATGGTTTATAGGTCTCCCTCACCTCCACCTTTCTTAGGGTAGTTACATGATTACACGATCCCTTATTAATGTCTTATATACCCCTTATATCCTCTACAACCCAAGGGCCCATACTTCAGAACCCTTTGCAGGAGGTAAGGGATCACATTCAGGGCCCTTAGAACCTGCGAGTAGCCCCGGAAGGCAGCCTGGCGGGTGGACAACCAGGACAGCCCTGAGCTTGTGCAGAGCTCTTTCTTCGAGTTTAACGGCTTGAACGCCTCAAGCCCCTGAATCCTAAACCCTAAACCCTTGAATCCTAAAGCCTCAACCCCAGACCCTAAACCCTATAAGCCCCTGAATTCAAAGCCCTAAACTTTGGGAAGCCTTCGTGCCGCAAAGCCACGAAGCCATGCAAATCCGGATAGACTTGGGCACGGGGCTTGAAGTTTGTTTTTGCTGTTTGCTTTCTGTGTCTCTGAAAACAGCTCGAAACGCCAAGAGGACTGCGATGACCGCGACGATTTCAAGCCTTTCTTCTCCCTGCTGCTCTGCGTCTGCACGGCCGAGCATGACGGAGCAGGTTTCTTCGAAACCCTCAACCCTATAAACCCTAAACCCTAGTTATAAACCCTAAGCCCTATATATAAAGCCCAAATCCTATCATCCCTAAGCCTAAACAACCCTTAAAACCCCTGAATGCCCTAAACCCTGTCATTATCCTTGCCTGCTCCCTGTTTGGGGTTTAGGGTTTAGGGTTTGGGACCCTAGACCCTAAACCCTAAACCCTAAACCCTAGAACCCTAAGGCTTGAAGCCCAGTCCTCCCCTGAGAAGGTGGTGTCTTCTTCCGCCCAGACGCGGAGACCGCGCCGGTGCCCCTGGTCCCTGGCGCTGGCGTGCTTTTCCCCAGGAGCTGCTCGACTCGAGTTCGGGGTTTAGGGTTTAGGGTTTAGGGTTTAGGGTTTAGGGTTTAGGGTTTAGGGTTTAGGGTTTAGGGTTTAGGGTTTAGGGTTTAGGGTTTAGTTTTGAGAGGCTGGTCAGTGGGACTGCTTACTTCGAGGCCTGCGTTAGGGCCGCTAGGGGGCGTATAATTAGGCGATTTGAGGGTTTGCCTTCAGGTTCGGGGCATTTGCATTTTTTGGTAGGATGCCGCGCAAGCTCCCTCGCCTGCGCGATGTGTCGGTGCTCGCCAGCATGTGCTTCATTCTTCGGGTCGTCCTGCGGCTGTATATCCCCTGACCCAGAGGACGCGATATTGATTTTTTTCGATCGTGCTATCGATTTTGGAATGGATGTTAATTTCTATCGATTTTGATGGTTTCTCGAAGATTTTCGATCGTAACGACAACTTCGTCTTCGAGTCTGCTATCGAAAATGAATAGGAGCTGCTATCGATTTTGAATAGACCGTTGCTATCGATTTTGAGGAAAATTTCTATCGATTTTGAGGAAAATTTCTATCGATTTTGAGTACAAATTTCTATCGATTTTGAGGCAGAGTTCTATCGATTTTGATTTTCGGAAAAGTCTTCCATATATGTATATATATATATATATGATACACTTATGTGGGCTGGACATGCCCCGTTTCCAAGTGCAAGTGTTGGGTTGGACAGCCCCGAGTCAAGTGTGGCATGCATTCTCAGATCGAGCTGCCTCAAGTCAGCAGCTATATAGCTAGGGGTCAGGTCGTAGCCGACGCCATGTCCAGGGGTGGCAAGTTGAACTACACCAAGCCGGATAGTGGAACCAGCATTCGCCTTCAAGTACCGAGACCTGAAGGAGTGTCTCAAGAAGGCACACCAAGACTTTCCGGGTCTTTCGGAAAGCCTTCCACTGTCCAAGCAGCCCAGCTTCGCCCAGGTCACAGCCGAGATGCTCGTGGTGGTGTTCAGCCACTGTCGTCGTCTGAAAGATCCAGTACGGTTCCTTCAGGCCTGCAGCAAAGCCACCCAGTTCCAGATTGCAGATCTGGAAGCACTTCGGGATTTGCAGGTCGGCGAAGATGAGCGAGGCCAGCCCGACTCTTCGCAAAAGTCCTCGAAAAGTTCTGGCAAGGCCGGCAAGCTTAAGCCCACACAGTCGCTGCCGGCTGAAAGTTCTGGCAATGCTGCCAAGCTTGAAGAGTCTCTGCCAAGCTCTGCCAAGGCTTCCCAGCTCACAAAGTCGTTTGTGCCAAAAGCCCCAGGCACTCCGCCTCGCCGCACCAGGACAGCCGACCTGGAGGTGCCTGCGACCCCGGATTCCCAAGCTACAACTCAGGTGTTGGGCCAGGAGGCCGATGCAGCCAGCCCAGTTCCGGCAAGCAAAGCTGGCATCAAGAAGGCATGGGGGCAAGCCACAGAGGACAGCAGCTTCAAGAAGCCAGCTGCCTGTCTAAGGAAGCCAGCAGCCAGCATGAAGAATCAGAAGGCGAGGACACTCTTTAATGTGGAGACGCTTCATAATAGTGTCTGTAATATCGGATCATGCCCGAGAACCGCCCATCCCTAAAATGCCAATTAAGCTCATCGGCCGGTCCAGGCCAGTGAAGAGAAGAAGAAGAAGAAGGAGCACAAGGAGCTCACTGCCGAGGAGAGGTCCAAGCTCGTCACGATGAACTACAGCTCTGCAGTTGCCCTTCGGGTCCAAGATTCCAGGCAGTTGCTCCAGATCGTCACGACCAAGTTTGGCCGGCAGAAGACGAGGGCCAAGGTGCTGGAGCTGAAGGCCAAGCTCGCCAAAGGCGGCAGTCTCCTGGAAGCACTTCATGAGAAGGCGAAGTTTCTGCAGGGCTAGCCTGTGTGCTGCCTCCAAGCTGCTAAGCTGCTAGGTGAAGTTTCTGCAGGGCTCGCCTGTGCTGCAGTCCAAGTTTTGACCGACCCGGTCTCAGAACCCTCAAGCATCGAGTTGCTTTGAAAAGATGCATTGCCCGCACTTGAGCCAGAATCAAACACGCACAGGCATATACATATATATATATATATACATACATACATATATATATATATATGCCTGTATGTATATATATATATATATATAGAGACATACATTGTCATTCATACAAAGTCTGTTCCCCTCACAGGGTTGGACAGCCCCGAGCACCATGACAAAGAAGTGGGCTGGACATGCCCCGTTTCTAAATTGGACAGCCCCAAGCAGTACCAAAACAGCGGGCTTGGGCTGGAATGCCCCGTTTCTGGGTTGGACAGCCCCCCCGGCAGTAACATCAACAACATGGGCTGGACAGCCCGAGAAGGGCTGGACATGCCCCGTTTGTGGGTTGGACAGCCCCGATCGAGCAACATGAGAACATGCCCTCGCAAAAAAAATTCTGTCCGCTCGCAGCAAGCACTCGCTCAAGAGCCAAGTGCAGCAACCTCCAGCTTTGCCAAGACCCAAGCCGCCATGGCCGGGTTTCCAGCAGGAGGCAAGGGACAAGGCGGCCGCCACGGCTCCGACCCAGGTGGCATGGGCATCTTGTCTTCAGAAAATCATCTCTAAACTTTCAACCGTCAGCAACCCTCACCCTCGAAGCTGATTTCTCTACGGTTATTTTCATGTCCAGTCACTGAGTCATCTCAGGTGCCAATGTCTGGAGGGAGAACTGGCGATCCTTGTGGCACCACACCAAGCAGGAGGACTCTACATTTATTTAGTGTAAGAAAAATGTAGCGCAGGAATTCTTAATCTTAAGGGCTGGACAGCCCATATGTTTTTCTCTCGAATATTGCTCATCCAAGGACGAGTCGTTCGACCACTGGCAAGGCCGTGTTGTGGCCTACCTTTCCAGGTCTTACAACAAGCCCAAGGCGACGACGCAGTCCATCCGCTCCTATATCCAGGACTGTTTCCGCCAGGCCCAGGCCGAAGCCACCGACCCGAACCCGGCATCGTTCGAGGAATGGCTGGATGCCGTGGTGGACGAAGTGTCGCTGGAGCCGACGGCAGACCAGTCCGACCAGTCGAAGTGGAGGACAAGGCCGCCGAGGAGGAGACTGCCCAGCCTCCTGAGGACAGCAAGGCCCAGGAGCTCAAGGCCCAGGACCTCAAGCTCCAGGCCCAGCAACTCAAGCTCAAGGCTCACGAGGAGTACCGTGTGGCCCAGGAGGCACCAATTCGGGTCATGCAATAAGGGCTGGACAGCCCCTGCGATACCCTAAAAAACAACCCTAAATCCTACACCCTGAAGCCACAAAAAACCGTAAACCCTTAAAGAGTTTTTGCTTCCCAAACTTTCTAAACCAGGAGCTGGTCAGCAAGAAAAAGGCTGAGACCAAGGCCATGCTGGATGGGGAGGTCGCCCAGTTCAAAGACCACGTGCTGCAGCAGAATCTGGCCAAGATCGAGGCCAGGAAGCAGGAGCTTGCCAGTTACGTGGAGAAGACGATGAACGACTACGTGCAGGAGCTGGAGGAGGATTACGACAAGCAGGTCAAGGCCAAGGAGAAAGAGGCCAAGGCCAGGCTGCAGGAGAACAACGAGTACCTGGATAGGGAGCACGAGGACAGGATGCAGGCAGGCCGACCAACGCATTTGTCAAATAAACCCCCTGGTCCCTAAACCCTAAACCTTCAACCCTAATCCCCCTAAACCACACAGCCAGGCCAGTCTCCAAGCTCTCCAGGCTCCTGTGCCGGATCCCCAGACCAAGCCTCCGACAGAGCAGGGCGAAACCGCCTCCACCGCCAACACCCCGATGTGGTTCCAGGGACAGCCTCCAAGTCTGCAGCTGCTCCAGGCAAGCCAGGTGGCGCAGCCTCCAAGGCAGCTGGCCAAGCCACCAAGGCAGCTTCCCCAGCCAAGGCAGCTAGCCAACCCTCGTCCGGCCAAGCCTCCCAGATAGCCCAGGTGGCCAGCAGACTGGAGATGGCCCAGCCTCCAAGGCCACCAAGATGAGCAAGATCCCGGCCTGGCTTCCACCGTGGATTCGCAGCACAGGCCTTCATCCAAATCTAAGACCAGGGCTGGAGAGCCCGAACGTCCACTCAAAGCCCTGCTTCCAGGTGGCGACTATGTGGGAGACGCCGACGACCAGTTCGTCAACAACTTCGGCTGGGACTGCTTCAGCGAGTGTCGCAGCTGACGCCGGATTCGAACAGTCTTTTTGCGGTCGTTTCAAGTCAAAGAGGGGCTGGAAGCCCGCTTTGAAGTTTTGCCCCTAAACCCTAAACCCTAAACCCTGAACCCTGAACCCTAAACCCTAAACCCTAAACCCTAAACCCTAAACCCTAAACCCTAAACCCTAAACCCTAAACCTTAACAACTTCTCAGGCCATTTGTACTCCTACGTCAGCACGAGGTCCAAGCTGAGGTGCCCAAGTTGCCGTGGCTGCATCTTCAAGGACTGCCCGGACTACCGTGGAGCTGAGGCAGTGAAGGATTTGTTCAGGCGGCTTTTCCCGACCAGGCCTTGGGAGACGACCCACCAGTAGGCCAGGCCAGCTCCAGGCGAGCACCTTTTTTCTGACCTCCAGGTCAGCTGCTCGGTGCTCACAAAACAATTCAGGCCAGGACTCCAGGTTCAGGCTTCACATACTTAGCTGTTAAAGCCTATAGACTCAGCAAGCAACTTCACTGGAGTCCAGGCCAGGCACCACGCTAGAACTTCAAGTTTCTTCGGCCCAGACTCCAGGTCTCCAGGTTCCTAACCAGGTTTATATGTGTCGCAATTGTATGAGCTCCAGCTAGGGCAAGTGGAGTCCAGGGCCAAGCACCACGCTAGATCAGATCGCCGTGGTCGGAAAAAAGTCACCGAGGGCAAGCTCGCACCTTATGGGCTGGATAGCCCCGTGGGCTGGCTAGCCCAGTGGAGGGTTTAGGGTTTAGGGTTTAGGGTTTAGGGTTTGGGGTTTGGGGTTTAGGGTTTAGGGTTTAGGGTTTAGGGTTTAGGGGTTTAGGGGTTTAGGGTTTACTCAACCTTAACCCTCAACC